CTTTGTACATGGAGCTGCTGATGCCTTTCTCATTGGTCTGCTCAACCATATGAATGATGTGTTTGATATTTGAAAGATTTCCAGCTTTGGTCAGGATCACGCCGTCGGCAGGCTGAGGCGCTTTAATCAGGAGAGAACGGATGAGCAATTATTCTGTTGTAGCAGGAGAGTCCAGTTCTGCTCCTGGAGGCTCAGTGCCCTGCAGAATTTATCCCCAGCCCCAACTAAACACACCTGAACCAAGGTAATCAAAGGTTGTCAGGATTACTAGAATCTTCTGGACAGGTATTTTGGGACAAGTTGGAGCTAAACTCTGCAGGATATTGGCCCTCCAGGACCAGGATTGGACACCGTCGTGTTAGAAGTTCATCAGAAATGCCTATATTTATGATTATTGACTGAAGCTGAAGGTTGTACCTTTTGATTTGCACTCGTTCACCACCGTTTGTCCTGATGCTTTGAGAATGGCTCCTGATACACCTGCACATAAGGACATACACTAGATCTGAGCACCACTTCCAATTATTTATTCAACTGCCGCTCTTCCTGTCTCCATGTTAGGGTTAGGAAAATGTCTGGAAAATAACAGTTCATCAGATTCAGAGCGATATCAAAAGCAAACTCACCCGTGTTGAAATCGAGGCTTGTCGTCGTGCTGTTTACAATAGCCTCGACAGTCTCTTTGGTGATGTCTCCGCTAAACACCTTGACTTTAATCGGGCCCATCATTACCTCCACTGGGTTTGCTGGTGAAATGTAAACATTTTAGCAAATTTGAAAGACCTACAGTATAACAGCATATTTTCAAAAGGTCATCAAATGCTGCTTTACCGTTGGCTCCTTTGTCAGACGAGGAGCTTTCTTCTGTTGAGCTGTAATCCTCCCACTCATCATCTTCACTGTCCTAGTTGTGCGTTGATGTTAATTAAATGTTGAAGTGCAAAAGCATTTACATTTGATATGTCAGAAATCTTTTCAAGTGTCCTTCAATTCTGAATGATCAACTCTATTCAGAACTGGGTTAAGGTTCTCTACCTGTGTATTCGCAATCCATGTTTTGAGACCTTTCTGAAACTCTTGTAGGACATTGTCCTGGTCAATCATAACATAGATGAGCTTAATCACAGTCGAGATGTTTTGGGCCAGATGATCTTCAAAGCCCTGCAGCATCGCACCGATGGCATCCTCACCCTTAACGCCCCCGCCGCCTTTAACAAAAGCCGTCAGACGGCGTGAGACACAACCACACATGATGACCAACACATGCCACATTCAATGCCATCATAAATCCGTACCAGTGCCCACGGCAGGGAAGGAGACCGTGGTGATCTGCTTCTCCTCACAGCGCTCCAGAACGTTCTTCACGCGGGATCTCACCTCTGCCGCCGAGTGCGGACCGACCATGTGAATGATGAAGTCGCAATGCAGGTTTCTGCCGCTGGTCACGGCTGCAATGTCATTCTGCAACGGACCTTCAGGACAGAATTTGTTTAAAGAAATTTGTTTACCAGTCCTTGACATTCAGTGTCAGTGCAGCCTCGTGTCTACGGCCAAATCGTAGCCGTGCTGATATCCAGAACATCTCTTGCTCATGCAATTGATAGTTAACAAGGTTTCAGTATTTGGTGTAATGTTCTCACCGTGCTTTTGGCACTCCTGCTCCACAGACGCTCCAGCCGCTTTAAATATGGCACCCGACACGCCTGAAGGACAAGGATACTTTTGAGATTGTCAAGGTGGGACACACTGAACTGGTCACACTTTAAAATTGCCACAAACACACGCTGTTGTGTTTCGGTGTAGATCCATGGCTTATTTTAAAGCAGTGGTTCCCAACCCTGTTCCTGGAGCCCCCAACATTTGCATGTCTTGGAGTCTCTACTAATGAGCTGATGACCTTTTATGAGTTGTTTCATTGAGAAGACATGCAAAATGTGCAGTTTCGGGGGCTCCAGGAACATGTTTGGCAACTACTTTTTTAGAGTAACTGATGTGTTGATATAAAAGTGTCCAGCTTGTGTGTTTTGAGTTGTATTAAGTCTTATAGACCTCCTCTCAGGCTCATGTCCCTGTTGGTGGTGTTTACGATCCCTCGGACCGTTTCATTAGTGATGTCGCCTTTCTTTACCTCGATTCTGACGCTTCCAATTTTGACTATGGAAGATGAGAGAGATTTCAAATGTAAACACTTAATATTCACACCTGGAAATATCAGAACGAAGACATGAAAAGAGGTTTATGATGTATTTGAAAAACTAGAGCATATTTATTTGTGGATAAATGCTTTTTGCATTCGTCAACAACAGATTGTCCAGCAGCTTTTAAGATGGCACCAGATATGCCTATAAAATTGAACAGTACATTGGAAACAAGCTGGGAAACACTATAAACGTTTGCTCTGACCTGGTATAAACGTCTCCGTGTCAGGAGAATTTACAGTAAATATAATAATAACCCAAATCTTTGAAGTACCTTCAAGCTATTCAACGTTCGACATGCTTTAGCATGAAAGGTAAAAGTATAGTGATGTGAGTCAGTTTAGTATTGATGCTGCAGTAAAGAAACTCTTACCAGTGTTAAGATCTAAACTTTTGTTGGTTGAATTCACTATAACATCCACCGTCTCTTTGGTGATGTCACCCTCTTTCAGGCATATTGGCACACCATTGATCAGCACTGAGTGAATTCCCAGTCATGCGAAAACAAAAGTACATAAGCGACTTCAGATGAAGTCTAGGAAACATGGTGACCAGAAATAGTGAAATTACAAAAGCAGGTATATACAATACCTCTCGTGTCTGATCCGTGTTTTAGCTTCAAGAATTGTAGGGGAACCGTTGTAGATGTGTCAGGAAATCCCTGTTAAGAAATTAAACGGGTGATGGTTAATAAAACATGCTAAACACTGTTAATAAACGTTTGCATAGGAGGGATCATACTAGTTTCTGGATCAGAGCGTTGTACTCCTCAACGATCTCCTCGTCTGAATCCACTATACTGATGCGTCTGATGTTTTTAGGAGAATTCTGACGGTCGCTGCAGAACTGCAGTACAGCGGCTCGGAGCGCCACGCAGCTGTCTTTGACAGAGAAGCCGAAGCTTTCACAACCGACTGCTGGGAGTGCAATCGAGGCGCATCCTTTTCCTTCAGCTTTCAGGAGACTGTTATACACGGCTGACTGAAGGTAGTGAGAGTCCAGCCTCTGTCCTTTCTGAGGCAACACGGCGTAAATGAGCGTCCCGGCGCTGAGTTTCCCAGCATCACTGAGCACCACGTCTCCAGGCAGAAGACTCTGCTGTTGCTTCTGATGAGTTTTACACACCTCTGTAATCTCGTCTCCTCCGAACTGGAGAAAGCACTGAGCCACAGGGTTACTGAAAGCTAGATTGGCATTCATTGGACAGGTCAAAGCGTCGGCTGTGAAATGGTGCAGGTCTCCTGTGATGCTCAGAGTCATGAAGTTGCCTATTTTGTGTGTGAAGCTCTTTGGAGGGCCGGATTTGACCACATGCTCTTGTGATAAATACAGACTGCACTGCATCTCTTTAGCTTTGGTCTTCATGTTGGCTTCATTTTTCTCCAGAACCTTTGCTTCTCCTGCTTTGCTATATTTATGGCTCTCCATAAGAATGGTTGCTGCGGCGGAGCTGTCAATAAGCACTTTGGCATGAAGCAGTTTGGCCTCGTTCTCCAGTTGTTTTCTGCATCGCTCATTGGTTTCAAAGAAACAGAGCAGCTCTTCACTGACAGGAACGTTCACTTTCGTGAATATTTTATCAGTCAGGGTTGGTTTTTCTCAGTTAAAGCCTTTTGCAAACTGGAGTAGAACAGTGAAGCGTGAACTTCTGTGCCGCAAACATTGTATGTTTGTTCCACCACTGCATGTGCATCTATTACAATAGAAAAGATGGGTTACATTTTCAAATTAATTTTGTTCTGTATATTTTAGCCTTTGTGCTGTTTTGAAAACCCTTCACCTAATTTGGTGTTTCCAGTCAAAAATGACTGGCCTTATAAATTGCTTCTAAATCTCTCATTATGTAATATTATCACCAAATCTTGAATTTAGGGTACGTTTACACGACATCGATGTTCTAAAAATTGATATGTTTTTCCTTTAGTTTTTTTTGCGTACATTTGACAACATTGTCAAAAACGATCCCCGTTCACACTGATCGGCAAAAATGGCTTTTTATGCTGTATTATTCATGCCAGGCCAGTAGCTGATGTCACGTACATACATGCGAACACACACGTACCTATAGACCGAACACGTGATACGCATGCGCAGGTCACCCTTTTCACAAATTCTTTCACAAATTTTGTAGTTTACACAGACAATAACGGTACTGCTTTCAAAAACCTGCACTTTAAAACCCATTTTAAAAAGTTTGCATTTTCAGGCCCCCAAAACACTGTTGTCGTGTAAATGAATGTCCAAAATGCATAAAAAGTTTACAGTTTTTAATTGAAACAGTGTTGTGTAAATGCACATTTAATCTTTTTATCAGCTTGTTTTCTTTCAATTAGCACAGGTTTTGTGTTTCTTTTTGGAACCAACCGATTGCAGGCCTCATTGATCTGAGTCTTGCTGATTCGTCTGGCCAGAGGAGAACTGAGCCTGGTTTCTCCCAAGGTTTTTTCTCCATTCTGTCACTGATGGAGTTCTGGTTCCTCTGGCTTGCTTAGTTGGGGACACTTCATATCCAGCGATATCGTGGACTTGATTGCACAGATACTATTTAAACTGAACTGAGCTGGATGATGACATCACTGAACTCAATGATGAACTGCCTTTAACTGAACATTGAGTGTTTACTATTGTCCTTCTGCATTATTGACACACTATTTGCCTGTTTAATACTGTAAAGCTGCTTTGCCTCAATCTGTATTGCTAAAAGCGCTGTATAAATAAAGGTGACTTGACTTTTTGAGTGAAAAAAGCAGTATCTGTGGATAATTTTGGCATGCATGGTGCATGTGCTCCGATCAATGAGGCCTACGATCGGTCGGTTCCAAAAATAAATGGAAAACCTGTGCTCACTGAAAGATAACAAGTTGACAAAAAGATTGAATCCAAGTTTTGGTAATAATTTAGCATAATGAGATTTATTTTCATGAAAAATAAAATCCTCTCTGGGTCAAAATGACTGGAACTCAATATGAAGGTTAAATTACTGTTGCACAGTATTATTAGTTATCTGAAACTTATTTTTAGATCTAATCTTGTCTCCTCTTCTGTTTGAGCTGAATCTAAATCTAAATCTAAATGTTTCATCTTTGCAAACGATCTGAAAACCTACCGTCACAGTTTCCGAAGGTGATGGCCGCGCTCTTTCGTCTGTTGATCCATATGAAGGACTGGACGTCTCCTCCTCCGCTCCTCTTCTTGTTGCTGAAGTAAAGTGTGAGAACATCTTCAGTGAGCTTCTCCAAGTCTCCCTGGACCAGAACCGAGTCCGTCCGCTCCACACGGGTCACTCCGATGTCTTGACCCTGCAGCTGCCTCCAGGTGCATTTCCTTAGAAATGACGTCACATCTGATGATAAAACCAGAAGGAAAGTGGACCATGCATTGAGTGTGTTCATTTTCATCAATTCAGTCTTAGTGTTTATTTGAATGGTTGACCACAGCAGTCGTTAATGATCACAACTGATCAGATTCTTGAAGCATTACTTTTCACGTAATACATTTTGATATACAGGATTTGATTAGTCCGTGTAGATAGATAGAGAAAATAAAATGTTAATGTTCGTAGACGTAGCAGACCCAAAAGACAAACAAATATAAGCAGCGTGAAAGCAGAGGTCGTTCTCAGGCCCAAAACACAGCAGAGCGGCCACCCAGAGCTTCCAAGCCCACCGATATCGTGTTTGAAGGTGACAACGATCCTGTCCTCATCAAGCGTCTCCCAGGTGTGCTCTGTGGTCTTGCTACAGCTGCCGATGAACACTGAGATCATCCTGCAGTCTGTGGCTCCATCAAAGCCAGTCAAGATGAAGCGACGCGGGTCCAGCTGCTCTCCCAGACCTCCTCCTTTATACACTGCTAACGTTATACCAAACCCATGCTCTTTCTGGCCCAAAATCTCCTCTAAATCTGAGAAAGGGTCAACATTGTTAATTCTGATATTTCTGATCTCACTGATGGATTATGTTGGATGATTTTATCATGGTTTGCTTTTATTTTTCTCACTTGAGAGCTAGTAATCTAATGATAGTTTCTTTGGCCTGAGTCATATGCACAGAAATAGACTTGCCAAACCAGTTTGTTCCACGTCACATCGTGATGTAACTAGAAAACAATCTCAGGAATCATACCTGACTGGCTGCAGAGCTTCAGGATCCAGCTGTTATTTCCGTGCTTTGCTAGCTCAAACTGCTCTGTGAACTGCTCAACATACATCTGAAGGGTTTCCTTCTCAACTGAACCAGGGGTGTTAATGAGAAGATCTGGTATTTCTGAATCCTCCTCATCTTCTGTGTAATGAACAAATATATACACACAATCAAAGCGTCGTCGTAACAGTTTTGAAATCTGTAGTTGTTGTTTTTAAACACTGAAAACAAAAAGCATTACAGTCCAACCTGTGTGACCTTTAATTGCTGTTGTAGGCTTTCTGACGGAAAGGAAGATAATCTGATGGCATTTTGTTAAAAAAATAAACACACATTTACATTTTAATTCGTATTTTTCCTTTGACATTTAAATCAAGATCAGGTGCTGGCTGCATAAACTGTGTAGATTACACTCTTAAAAATAAAGCTGCTTCAGGATGCCATAGAAGAAGCTTTTTTGTATAAATGGTTCCATAAAGAACCTTCAACATCTGAAGAAACTTTCTGTTTCACAAAAGCTTCTTTGTGGCGAAAGAAGGTTCTTCAGATTATAAAAAGCTAAGAAAGAGATGGTTCTTTAAAGAACCTTTGACTGAATGGTTCCTTGTGGAACCAAAAGTGGTTCTATGGCATCGCTGTTAAGAACCTTTTAAGCTCCTTTATTTTTTAGAGTGTACTTTTAAAAGTAGTCATCTTCAAGACTGCTCATAACAGTCATTACTTAGTTTTCAAGTAAGGTAGCCTACATAAAAGTGTAGAGTGCAGTTAAAAAGTAATCTCTTGAATCTGAAAAGTGAAACTGATTAGCACTTGGTTAACTGCTAGTAGGTCAAACTAGTTCTCAAGACACTGTCCTAGTTTATGCAATTCTTTCAAAAGAAGCAAGCATGGGCAAACGTGTAGTCTGATATTGATAATAGTAACTGATAATGACCTGTCTGGCAGGAGCGTGCGGTGATCTGAGGGGAAGGCATGTCTCGGGGTTGGGTTTGGGTTTGGGCAGTACTTGTGGTTTGATCTTCTTGGTTCTTGTGTCTTCTGGGAGTTTCACCGTCACTTCAACAGATCCATGAGGTTTGATATCAACTTTATGGATCCTTTTGTCAAGCACCTTCTTCAGATCTGGAAGATGGGGGAATTCTCTGTGAAACTTACACTTGCCAGTTACACCAGGTCATCTCGGGTTTTAAGCAGATTATTTATGTAAATGTTGTGGTGTCAGTATTAGTTTGCTCTATATCAGATAGGATGTTGATATAGGCTCACCTTCGTCTCTTATATAAACCAGAAACGCTTTTCGTCTGTCGTCTGGATGTTCTCGAGTCTGCACGATCTCTCCTCCAGAGCTTCTTTTGTTTTGGAAGTAAAGCTCGATCTTTGGCTTGACTCGCTGGAAATCTTCCGGCAGACCCTCGAGAATCAGACTCTTGCGCTCCACATCTGAACAAACACTCACACACAGTGTTGCCAACTGCTTTCAATAGAAAGTAGCTGAAACTGGTAGCTAAATGTCACTAGATTACATCACAATGGCAGATTCACTGCTCTATATAAAGATGAATGTAGATCAGTGGGCAAGATGAGAACTTGGATAAGGTTTGTCCAAGCAGTTGCTATATTTGTCCCTAAACTTTTGAAAAAAGTCTCAAAAGGGGCGGGGAAGTCGCCAAATCTAGCTACAAAGTAGCTAAATTGGCAACACTGCTCACACAAAACCTATCTTATAAACGCCTCATAACGCCCCGACGACACATGTTTTCACTCGCAGATGATCCGGATCACCGTGGAATCAGCTGCTCGGTTACCGGTGCTTCACGCAATCTGACTCCGGTAGCCTACTTTCACTTTTGCTTCAGCTCGGATCAGGAAGCTGGGAGGGCAACAATAAGCGGAGAAAACCTCTCTCCGATCAGTTAGTCATTCCGCAAGCATTTAGTGGTTTGATTCCGGATTTACCCGAGTTCACATTCACTTCGGATTCTTTCGATCTCGGGTGAATCATGTCTGACGCCGATGAAACTCCAGTCATGGGCGAGGTACGTGTTTACAACATCAAATACACAGGCTTTCGAGATTCCCAGGTGAATTCTGTTTAATGTTTCATAGCTAATTCTTTCTTTGGTGAAAACCTTGTATGTGTTCGTGTTTGAAACAAACAGCTTCGAGCGGACGCGAGCGACGCAGCGGCGGAAATCCAGAAATACAAGGTTAAGAACACAACATCTCCAGCGACACTTGATCATACACGACCTGTAACCATCGTTTAATTATTAATGCTGGTGTTCACAGGATCTCATGGAGTCTGCAGACACTGAAAGATCCAGGCTGCTGCTGGAAAAAGCCGAAGCAGAGACTGAAAAGAGAAAAGCCGAGGCAGAGCTTCAGGGCTTCATGGAGTCTGAAGACACCATTTCTGACCAGTTTAATCGAGATCTTCTAGAAGTACAGGTGTGTTTCGATGCGTGATCAGACTAAGCACTGGAAGAGAAAGCAGATGCTGAGGATTGTGTTTGTTTCAGAAAGAGAAGAAGAGTCTGGATCGAGCCAACCAGGATCTGAAGAGAGATCTTCATGATCTTCAGAAGAAGCTTCAGCTCAAGAGGGACGAAAGTGATTCTCTGCAGCGCAAGTTTAAGGTTGGCCTGTATCTTACGATTACAATGTGTACATTTACGTTTACCTGTACAATTTATTAATTGATTACAGTCTAAAGTTACTGGTATTGATCAAAGTTACTGGACCGGTTTATGATAATATTATCATAAACTACAACAGAAGTAGTTCTCTTCTTCCTCTTGAGTCGAGTCTGTTTAATGTTTTATACAATACAGATTGTTTCCAAGCAGCTTTACGGTGATAAACAGGAAAATAATGATTCAATGGTGCAAACAAAATTCTTCAAAATTTAGAAATACAAACATAAACCGAAAATGTTCAAAGCAAGCAGAGAGACGGTTTAACCCGATTACAAAATATTCTATTAAAGGTGAGCTGTTTAATTATCTCTGCAACCATTTGTGAACTTTTATAAAGATCAAATCTGGTCATTAACGTTTGAAAGCATAATTATGCAAACACACACTGGCGAGTTCTGCAGGTAAACGGTGACGGGATGCACCAGATCTCGTTAGAGAAGCGAATATGATGAAAGAACGTTTTATTCAGCAAGGATGTGTTAAATTGATACAAAGTGATATCAGAGACTTTTATCGTTAGAAAAGTTTTCTATTTTGTATAAATGCTGTTCTTTTTAACTTTTATTCATCAAAAAAATCTTTAAAAAAGTATCACTGTTTCCAAAAAAATATTAAGCAGCACAACAGTTTTCAGCACTGATAATAAATCAGCATATTAGAATGATTTCTGAAGATCATGTGACACTGAAGACTGGAGTAATGATGCTGAAAATACAGCTGCGCATCACAGAAATACATTACAGTTTAACAGATATTCAAATAGAAAACAGCTGTTTTACATTCTAATAATATTTCACAATATTACGGTTTATTTGTTTCTGTTCTTATTTACTGTTTTTATTTCTGAATAAGTAAATGCAGCCTTGATGAGCAGAAGAAACTTCTTTAAAAACATTTTTGCATCTTTGAAATGCAGATAGAAGCCAGAATCCCGGTGCAGACGGTGAAGTTTGTGCGTGCGCTGGAGAGAGAGGAGGCCGAGGAGGTGGATGATCAGGTGCAGTCTGTGTTCACCGTCACACAGAGACCCTCGTTTCTGCTGAAGGGAGGCCAGGCACTCATCACCTTTGAGGAGGAGAAGGGTATGGATGCAGTCATGCACTGCAGGAGTCTTTACGCTTCCTTGTTTAGGAAGACGTCTGTTTTTGTCAGGTTTAATCGCATTGATGTTTCTCGTAATGTGTCTTTCAGTGGCGGAGCAGATCCTCCGACTGGCCAAGTGCTCGGTGGCCTGTGACAGAGCCAAGATGGACGTGAAGCCGTACGCTTTATCTCTGGATCCCTCCGTGAAGTTTGAGGTGGAGCCATTCGAGAAGCTTCTTCTTTACTGTGTCCAGAGTAATGTGCTGTCTGTTGACGTGAGCTGCTGTTAATCGCTGTACTTCTGCTCGTTCAGGTTCATATCCAGGTGTCAAAGAAGAGCGTCAGGTTCTGTAACGCCCCGCCCACTTTACCTGAGGAGCGAATGAGAGACCGGCTGGAGCTGTCGTTCTCCAGAGCGAGTCGCGGCGGAGGGGAAGTGGAGAAGCTGGAGTACCACAAGGATACGGGCTCGGGCCGCGTCACTTTCCTCAGCACCGGAGGTGTGTCTGTGTGCAGTCTCTGTGCTCTTAATGTGTGTTTCCTGAAAGGTCTCAGTTCATCATGGTCTTAGGTTTTTTATAATTCACTTTAGGTTTTTCAGATCAATTGTTCAAAGCTTTTACTGTCATATGCATAGAAATTAGCACTTGCGTATCATTGCTCTTTTGTTGATTTTGATTGCTTCTATTGTCCTCGTTTGTAAGTCGCTTTGAATAAAAGCATCTGCTAAATGACTAAATGTAAATATGCACATTTCCCAGTACAATTAAATTCTTAATAGGGATGGGCGATAGCACTTAATTTGTTTTCGATGCGATACGATACTTTTAAAGGGCAGTATCGTCGATATCGATACGATACTTCTAAACTGAACTTTTAAATCATGACATTTATAGTAAAATGGGTAATAATACCCACTTAACTTTATATTTGAAACGCATTTTAACATTCAATACGCCTTAATTGCAACTTGTTAGGTTATATTTTTATTTACACATGGTTAAATATTGTTTACTGTTATGATAACCATGGAAATCTACAAATACTATAGTTGAACTATGGTCACTTTAGTAAAACCATGGTTAGGGTTAGGGTTAGGGTTAAAGCTAACCATGGTTTATTTTCATAAGGAACTGCAGTGACAGGCTGTTGCATGAATAAAATGCACCCTTTTTATTCTGACAGTGTATGATTTATATTAACATTACAGAATAGATCATGATCAATATGAACTTTTAATGTTTAATTTAAATAAATATAATTGCACAAACTATGTAGGTTACAATTTCAGTTTGTTTATTGTGAAATAACTCAAACACATGTTTTTTCTGTCCGCTCATGAGCATTATTCTGGGCTGCTTGTGACACTTTTTGGGAAAGGCAGCCATGTTTGAAAAAAAAAAAATCACTGGTAAATAAAACACACCTTGGTATCGATATTTTTTATTTCAGTAGCCAGCTGATACTTTAGATACTTGCATCAGTATGAATATATATCGATACTTCAGGATCCATACAGCCATCCCTAATTCTTACTTTGCTTTCCACTCTGAGTGCCATTAATACAGGGTTCCCTAAAAAGTCTTAAATTTATAGTTGTATCAAATTTAAGGCCATAAAAAGTCCATGTTAAATTGTACAAGAAAGTCTCAATTATGATTTCAAGAGGTCTTAAATTTGGGGGCAGAAAGACCAGAATTGCGATACGGCTGAATGTGACGATTAAACTTCAAAAGGCTATGATTTCACTGAATAAATATGAGTGCTGCGCTGATTTGTGTACAGTACTGTCGTTACCAGGAAAACGGTTATATTTCTGCTGTTCCGAAAGCGCCACCTGCAGGCAGAGAATGAATCTGCATTTTCAATAAGCCCATCTGCTGATTTTGTTCAGACCAATGCACACACGCAGAGCTGTAAATATGAGCTGGTGGAGCGACAAGAAGATCATGCATTATAAAAATCTAAACTGTAAAATGTACTTATATGTTATTTAATTATTATAATCATTTATTGATAATAATTGTTTAAATTAAAATAATAATTAATACTTTTGACTAAAAATGGTTTAAAGGCTGAAATATGAAGTGTATTTTATAAAACATTTTGTTTTTGTGAAAACTTGTATCTGAACTGTAAATCATGCTTACAGTCATTTTACAGTTTAATATGTTACTATAGACATTGCCTTACCCCGCTCATATGGTGTTCATTTTATTTGTGCAGGTCTTAAAAAGGTCTTAAAGTCTTACATTTGAGCTTTAAAATCCTGCAGAAGCCCTGCAATAACAACCAATAATTAAGTATTAATAAATAGGAGAAAAAAAGATAAATGACAGATATACAACAGTGCAGTATAGTACTGTGCAGCTCTGGTTTAATCTTTTGTGTTTGTGGACGGATGTTTCGCTATAAGATATAGCTTCAGCTTCACGACGGCTCGCCTGCTTCCACTTTCAGTTGCAGAGAATCTGGTTCACAGAGGAAAGTTTTGTGCCGATGCCGGCAGCGACGTGGTGCTCGATGTTCTTCCTCTGTACGAGTATCAGCTCAGGAAGTTTCAGGTGCGTTTCTGTACCGGACATCGGTTTTGGGCGCAGAAGCACGTTTGTTTGATGGTGTTTGTTGTGATGTTGTAGACATACTCGGGGGCCCCAAGTCGCACCGTGCTGCTGGGGGGAATCCAGGCGCTGATGGATGAAGAAGATCTTCAGGACCATCTGGAGATCCACTTCCAGAAGCCCAGCAACTACGGAGGAGAGGTGGAGAACATCAAATACGTTCCTGATGGAGCGCAGCTGACGGCTTTCTTCAGCGAGGACGGCAAAGAAAAGGAAGAGTGAGTTCAGAATGCAACAAAAGCCAGGGTTTACTTCTAATCAGAGATGCATTAGTCATATTTACATGCTGTTATGTATGTGGGGTTATATCAATAATATCTCCTCACTGTCTTCTGTAACAATGACAAAACTGAGCATCATAAAATACAATTATAATTAAAACAGATAAAGTTGATTTTTAGGTAGGTTATGTATCTTCAAACTTAAACTGCTCAGATCATCAGCCTGATGAAGATGTGTTGATGTACAGATGCTATATTAAAATAAAGTGTATTCAGACGTTATCTGCAGTGGGTTGCTTCTTGAACTAAAGCTCAATCAGTGGTGAATTTTGAGTGTACTACATGAACTTAATGTCTTCAGATAAAATCAGATCAGAGTCTACATCAGATCTGAAGACTTGAGGAAAGACTCATGTTTGTCATGTTCAGATGTGATGGTCGTTCGTATGAAGCTTACGTTCACTGAGAAGAAGGAACGGGCATCCACAGGTTTATTTTGTCACGAGTCTTGATCCCGTCGCTCTTCGTCACTGATCCACGTCTGTGGTCAAGGCAAGACACCGGTTTTATATAGCGCTTTCACATGTGTATAGATCAGCTATTTTATTTATTTATTTTTTTTTTTATGTTTTTGGATTTATTTATTTACCTTTTTTGGATTTTAGATTTTATTTCATTTAATATATTGTTTGCTATTTATAACTTTTTCTTTGATTTAATTAAAATTAAAAATGTTATTTTTATTTTGGGTTTATTTTTATTTTATGGTGTAATGAACAAATGAGTGAAACTTTTGGATTGGATCTTTATCAGTTTGTATGGAGACAAGCAGCAAGGCTACAGGCTGAACGTTAGCTTGAATATATGGAGATATAACACAAGTTCGCATCAGATTCACATGGAGCAGGACAACGTGTTAATTGAATGACTTCTCATATTCATGCTATTTTTTTTTTTGGCCTCACACAAAATAAAGTCTTAGAATATCTCATAAATCATATGGACTACTTTCATACTCTGTTAAAAGCAACGTCCTCTCGTCCTGCGTTTAGAGAAACGGTGAGTGAATGACAGGACTGACATGTGTTCTGCAGAACACTCACTTTTTGTTCATTCCTTTTATTCAGATTTTTTCTAATTAAATGTTTCTAAATGCTATTCGTGTCAAATGTTTTAATGTCAACTAATCCAGTAAATGTTGTGGTTTAATTGTGCAAATGTAGTTTCATGTGTGTGCACTTAATTTGCTAAAAGGGGATATACAGTATGTCACCTGAACAGGTCTCATCACATCCGCTTGTCAGAGAAAGTATTAACAGACGTATGAACTAATGGCGATATCTATGGACTTAAGGTAATCAGTTAAACCAGCTTGTTGTTTTAATTCAATTTTACTATCGAAATGTAGGTGAAAAGAATAAAAATAAAAAACGTTTAGCTATCAGTCCACATACTGGATGGACATCGGTTGTGATCATCTTTGGTCTCTAGCTTGAAGGCATCTTGAGCAAAACCGCTCCATATTTCAGGAAGAATGCAACGCTTGAACTGAAGCGACGAGGTTTCACAGAACAACTCTCGCACCATTACAGACGCCTGCTGACGGTTGTCTTTTTTAGGTATAAGTCATAGTTTGGCTTTTTCAAACACTAACTCGTCCAGATAGGATGCATGATGAGCCCAGAAGCATCTCAGCGAATGAGATCAGATTCAGATCCTGATTCAGTTCTGATGCTGCTGCGCTTCTTCATGTCCAGCTGAGACAGTTTGAGCTGAACTCCCATCGTGTTACATCGTGTGAGACTCTTCAGTTCGTCCACAGAGAGCGCTCTCACCTCCCCTCACTTACCGGTTTAGCTGGTTAACACGGGTTAGTTAGGCTCAGCATCTTTGCTCTATAACCCTTTATTAAAATACTGTGAATGTCAGTGATGTTGACACAAACAGACTTAGCACAGATTCCCTCGAGTTAATGTCTAGGATTTAATTAGTCTGCAGTGGTCTACAGTGATCTGAAGTGTTCTACAGTGGTCTGCAGTGTTCTACAGTGGTCTGCAGTGGTCTGCAGTGGTCTGCAGTGTTCTAGAGTGGTCTGCAGTGGTCTGCAGTGTTCTAGAGTGGTCTGCAGTGGTCTGCAGTGTTCTAGAGTGGTCTGCAGTGGTCTACATTGGTCTGAAGTGTTCTACAGTGTTCTACAGTGGTCTGCAGTGGTCTGAAGTGGTCTGCAGTGGTCTGCAGTGTTCTAGAGTGGTCTGCAGTGGTCTACAGTGGTCTGCAGTGGTCTACAGTGGTCTGAAGTGTTCTAGAGTGGTCTGAAGTGTTCTAGAGTGGTCTACAGTGGTCTGAAGTGGTCTACAGTGGTCTGAAGTGGTCTGCAGTGGTCTACAGTGGTCTGCAGTGTTCTAGAGTGGTCTACAGTGGTCTGAAGTGTTCTACAGTGTTCTGCAGTGGTCTGAAGTGTTCTAGAGTGGTCTGCAGTGGTCTACATTGGTCTGAAGTGTTCTACAGTGTTCTACAGTGGTCTGCAGTGGTCTGAAGTGTTCTACAGTGGTCTGCAGTGTTCTGAAGTGTTCTACAGTGGTCTGAAGTGTTCTGCAGTGGTCTACAGTGGTCTACAGTGGTCTGAAGTGTTCTACAGTGGTCTGAAGTGTTCTACAGTGGTGTACAGTGGTCTGAAGTGCTCTGCAGTGGTCTACAGTGGTCTACAGTGGTCTGAAGTGTTCTACAGTGGTCTGAAGTGGTCTACAGTGGTCTGAAGTGGTCTACAGTGGTGTACAGTGGTCTGAAGTGTTCTACAGTGGTGTACAGTGTTCTGAAGTGTTCTACAGTGGTCTGAAGTGGTCTACAGTGGTCTGAAGTGTTCTACAATGTTCTACAGTGTTCTGAAGTGTTCTACAGTGTTCTGAAGTGTTCTACAGTGGTCTGAAGTGGTCTACAGTGGTCTGAAGTGTTCTACAATGTTCTACAGTGTTCTGAAGTGTTCTACAGTGGTCTGAAGTGGTCTACAGTGGTCTGAAGTGTTCTACAGTGTTCTATAGTGTTCTGCAGTGGTCTACAGTGGTCTGAAGTGTTCTGCAGTGGTCTACAGTGGTCTGAAGTGTTCTACAGTGGTCTTCAATGGTCTGCAGTGTTCTCCAGTGGTTTGTCCATCAGTTAGGGTCAGGTAGTGCAGTAGGTTGGCTGATCTCGTCCTCCTGTGGTTCAGAGGTCAGCGGTCGGTCAGTGGGTTTCGGAAGGCTTTGTCTCTCTGCTGACGATGAATCGATGGATCTGTCGGCGGTGACGGCCCGTATGCGGCCCAGAGATCGGTGCTGTAGGGGCCGTGATGTGTTTCTGGAGCTCTTGGAGGCCAGGCTGCTCTCCAGTGCTCTTTTGTTGGCGTGCTGCAGCGACAGACGGCACAGGAGCGTCTGCCGGAACGCCGAGCGGAACTGGCGCGAGGACAGGTTATACAGCAGCGGGTTCAGCACCGAGCTCAGGTAGAAGAAGCTGTCGGCCACTGGATGAAGCTTCACGTAGCTGCGCAGGTAACTCACGGTCCACGCTGACTTGGGCACCGCCGCCGTCATCAGCCTGCGGATCTGATTGGGCATCCAGCACACGAGCAGAGCGCAGACGATCAGCACTGACGAGAACACAATCATGTGTGAGAAGAGAAAAGAAAATTATAGAACACAAAATAACTACTTAATACATTATTGTTATATTTAATCTTATAATTCAGACCATACTGAAAATAATGAGGCTTTATGATGTCTTTTTTCATTGCAGTTCTGTTTGTGGTCCAGTGTCTCTCATATACTGACAGACTGGACAGAAGTGGATTCAGCTGTAAATCATGTAAGTATGTTGTGATGTGGTCATTCAGTAGTTCTGAAATTCATTCAAGGGTCCGTCTGATAATTGTTTTTTATATGCAGGTCTCTATAATAAATAGAAATCATATAAATGTATTGCATCAAATCCTTGGTATTGGTATAGTGAGAACCCAGAACACATTAGGTACAAAATTAGCTAGTTTAAATGTGTTTACCCTGTTTACATGTGCACTTACACTGCCGTTCAAACGTTTGGGATCAGTCAGATTCTTATTGTTTTTAAAGTAGTTTCTTCTGCTCATCAAGGCTGCATTTATTTGATCAAAAATACAGAGGAAAACAGTAATATTGTTAAATATTATTGGAATTTCTGATATTGGTTTCCTATTTTAATGTACTTTAAAATATAATTTATTTCTGTTACGCAGCACTGTATTTTCAGCATCATTACTCCAGTCTTCAGTGTCACATGATCTTCAGAAATCATTCTAATATGCTGATGTATTATCAGTGCTGGAAACTGTTGAGCTGCTTAATATATTTTGGAACCTGTGATACTTTTTTATTTGATTCTTATGATGAATAAAAAGTTAAAAAGAACAGCATTTATTCAAAATAGAAATATTTTCTAACAAAATTATTCTTTACTATCACTTTTTATACATTTAACACATCCTTGCTGAATAAAAGTATTAATTTCTTTAAAAAAAAAAGAAAAAAAAAGAAAAAATTTACCAACCCCAAACGTTTGTATAGTACTGTATATTGTAACATAAAATTTCTATGTTGACTAAACACTGTTCTTTTTAACTTTTTATTTATCAAAAAATCCTGAAAAAAGTATCACAGGTCCCAAAAATATTGTGCAGCACAACTGTGTTCAACATTGATAATAATCAGAAAATTTAACACATCCTTGCTGAATAAAAGTATTAATTTTTTTTTTTTTTTAAAGAAAGATTAAATTTACTGACCCCAAATTTTTGAATAGTACCGTATATTGTAACACAAAATTTCTATTTTGAATAAACACTGTTCTTTTTAACTTTTTATTTATCAAAAAATCCTGAAAAAAGTATCACAGTTCCCAATAATATTGTGCAGCACAACTGTGTTCAACATTGATAATAATCAGAAATGTTTCTTGAGCAGCAAATCAGCATATTAGAATGATTTCTGAAGATCATGTGACACTGAAGACTGGAGTAATGATGCTGAAAATACAGCTGCGCATCACAGAAATAAATTCTATTTTACAGCATATTAAAGTAAAAAACTGTTATTTTAAATTGCAATAATATTTCACAATATTTCCGTTTTCTCTGTATTGTTGATCAAATAGATACAGCCTTAAAGAGCATAAGAAACATCTTTACAAAACATTAAAAATCTTACTGATCCCAAATGTGTGAATGGCAGTGTATGTGTCCAATTAATCTGTCAAATATGTAGCTTTTGTTTGGGACCCTAATTTATCAGTGAGCAGGTGGAGGCTGAAGATGAGGCGGTGATCTCTGGGTTTGAAATGTCAGTCTGAGTTCAGTGCGAGTGTTATTATGAGTGTTATTGCGTAAGATCACGTGGCTGGAGCTGCCGGTCTGTGCGGCGGAGATTTCTACAGAATAGATACCCAGGAGAAAACAAGTGCACTTCCACAATGTACTGAAAGCGCTCTATTTTCATGCACTAATTCTGTACTTAATATACTAAAAATGATTCTTTAATACTTAAGATAATCTTAAGATCATCTAAGTGGACTCAACTGTGCTATTTTGGGACACCATGAATATGAAATAAAATGTGCTTTTAACATACCATCTCTATTTAAAAAAATGCATTCAGATACCACCTGTAGTACACTTGAACACACTGGTGTATGAAAGATGGGTTCAAGTGTACTACGAGTGGTAACTAACAATTTTTTTTTTACTGAGAAAGTATATTAAAGGGGACCTATTATGCAAAAACCACTTTTGTGTTGTTTGAACACAGTTGTGTGGCCGCAGTGTGTGAAAACAACCAGCCTATAATGGTACAAATCCATCCACTCATTTTTTTATGATACCAATAAATCATTACCAGTCTCTCCAAACGAGCGGTTTCAGATTCTCCCTTTGTACACATCACTATGGGGAGAAATCCCCGGCCATTTGTGCCACACTCTGCCCTATTAGCATCGACCGGCCTGCGTGAGAAGCAGCTCCGTCATTACTGTTTTCTTGCTGTAGCTACAATGTCAGAGAGGCATTACAAGTGTTGTGTTTTGGGATGCACCAACAAACATAGGAGTCTCCATAGACTCCCTCCAACTGAGCTGCTGAGGACACTGTGGTTAAATTTCATTTTCGAAGGAAACATCCTGGAAAAAAATCCCCTATATGTTTAGGAAACAATACCAATGCTTTGTGTGTGAACGTCTGCTCCAAACAAAGTAAGTATCACGCGTTTGTTTTCCAAGTTGCCTTTCTGAAAGAGCTTCTTGGCACTCTGTAAGGCTAATGTTGCTAAAGCTATGCCTGTTTTCACTGATGCTGCTTCAAGAATGATCATAAATAGGAATGTGCTAGTTAAAAATTGCATATGAAAGCAATGTGAAGTCAACCGCTTGAATTTGTCGAGCTCATAATCACAAGCGGGACTTATAAAGTTTGTGATAGCAGCTAAGGCACAATGAGACCAGCTGTCGTTATTTTTATCGCGCCGTGCTCCCCGTCTGTGTAATTCATAAACGATCATTTATTACGCACAGTACGATCAGATGACTGACTTTTAAACCAAGTACGTTTTCTGTAACGATAACAGGCTTGTACTAATAGTGGAATGTTTGTTTGTATGCGGAGCTTGAGCTCTTGAAGCTCCGCCCTCTTCTGAAAGGGGGCGGGAGCACCAGCTCATTTGCATTTAAAGGGACACACACAAAAACGGCGCGTTTTGGCTCATACCCTAAAAGTGGCAATTTTAACAAGCTATAAAATATTATCTGTGGTGTATTTTGAGCTAAAACATCACATATACACTCTGGGGACATCAGAGACTTATTTTACATCTTGTAAAAAGGGGCATAATAGGCCACCTTTAAAATACATTTTAGTTCATATTCATGACGTAGCATAGTTGGGTGCAATTAGATGTTCTTAAGAAGTAGTAAAGAATAATTTTTTTTATATTAAGCACAAAATTTGTGCATGAAAACAGAGCACTTTAAGTACATTACGGAAGTGCAGTTTCTTTTCTCCTGAGTACTGCTTTCAATGGTTTCTGAAGCGTCTCAGAGGACTTTATAGAGGCGACAGAGAGGACGTGTTAAGGCTTGGGTGGATGTTTGTGTAAGGCTGGGTCAGGGTAAAGGTGAGCCTTTTTCAGCAGGAATCGTGTCTTGTGAAGTCAAGCCGAGACCCGAGAGGAGACGCACATGCGAGATAAAGAATGGATTATTGGAGAGCGCGAACGGTGTCCTACCGAGGAAGAGGATGGTCTGCTTACGGGCCGCTTTCAGCCGGGCGCTCTCGTGTTTGGGAATGCTGTGTGCAGCTCCGCTGGCTCCGGACTCGTTGGGTCCCATCCGGGCCCGCAGAACAGCAATCATGGCTCTGCACATGAAGGCCACGGCGCTCAGAACAATCAGATAGAGCGCGAATGCGATGAAGATGCTGGTGCGGTACATGACCCAGTGCTGGCTCAGATTAGTGCAGAAGGTCAGGTTCTGTGCGGGCCCCTGCCGGCCCTCAGGGGCCAAGCCTTCGGTTCCTGTGGCCACAAGCAGTGGCAGAGCCACGAGCACTGAGCAGATCCAGGCCCCCAGCAGCAGCGCCGTGGAGCGCCGGCCCGACAGCGCTTTATAGCGGAACGGGTGGCAGATGGCCAGGTAGCGCTCGAAGCTCAGCGAGGCGATGTTGAGGACGGTGGCGTAGCTGCAGGCCTCGAACAGAAAGCTGTAGATCCTGCAGGCGGCGTCGCCGGACGAGGACGAGAAGGGGAACCAGATGGCGCTGTAGAGCTCCACAGGCATCCCGATCAACAGCACCAGCAGGTCAGAGCAGGCCAGACTCAGCATGTGATCCGTCACGGTCTTCTGCAGGTATCCGCTGCGCTGCAGCCGCTGAGACACGTGGATGGTGACGCTGTTTCCCAGGATGCCGAGGATGAGGATGAGGCTGTACAGCACCGTGAGGAAGATCTTCACCTCGTGACTCGGCTCCAGTGATTTCCAGTCTCTCTGCACTTCCTCGTTCTCCTCCATGACGCCGGTCGCTCTCTTATTGACTTTAGTGCTGCTTATCTGCGCCGTTAATCATCAGACTCACAGAGCACAGAATCACGGCGTTCCACTTGAAGCAGAAAGTCTGTGCATGCTTCATGATGAAGATCAGAGCGTCTCTGCTTGAGCGACTCTTCCTTGGCTCGTGTCTGAGGCTCTGCTGCGAGTTAATGATTGGAGTTTGATCGCGGAGGCGGTGCGAGTTACTGCCGTGATCTGAGCCGAGCGTCGCTATGTGAGCGGGAACTATTAGTCATGTGATGCTTTACAGTACGAGGGTGTGTCCTGTGTGTGTGTGTGTGTGTGTGTGTGTGTGTGTGTGTGTGTTAACACAAGTTACAGCCACAGTACTTACTTCAGAGCGTTTCAGAGTGATAACTCACCTACAAATGATCATTCTGTCATCACTTACTCTCCCTCGTGTCGCTCCAAACCTGTGTGAGTCTTCTCTTGAACACTAAAGAAGATATTTTGAAGAATGTTGACATTGTGGAAACATTTCCCAAAATAAACTCTATTTTCTCTATGAAAAGTTATATTGTGCAACCAAAAAGTTTAGGAAAACGTTGCTCCATCCAACAATACCGGTGGCTGTTAATGGCGCTGATGAGCTTCTGCGCAGCGTTTATCCTCACATCACCAGTCGCTCACATCAGCTGCTGGATTTTGGGTGTAAACTACAGCATGATCTACATATCTGGTTTTTGGTAAACTATATTCATCAGATTGCTCATCGATGCAAACAGCAGTTAAAGGTAATTGGTTTATGTGTGTGATTGTAGGTCTCAGTTCAGCACAAATGCAGATAAACACAGATAACTAGTGACGTGTGAGCACTAACCGGCTGCTTAAACAGCTATGATCGTAGCGTTTATATCAGTGTTATTCCCAGTGTTTCTGACCGGAATCTGCTTGTTCTGCTTGTTTTTGTTGACGCAGAGCTACTGTAATGGGTTCAGGACAGAAGAACATACAGATTTAAACTAACATGTGTGAAAATGTAATTGTAAATCTGCTTTATTTGCTCTTGATGTTCTTGAAAAGAATCTGTTTTTTCACCTTTGATTAAAAAAAAAAGTAAAAAAGCATTAAACACATCTAAGCTGGACAATAAAGTGGCCCGTCCTGATTAAACTACGACATGTAAAGCTAGTTAATTCAGAAACTGAGTCTTTTTATTTTCAGAGTCTGTGTGCGAGTCTCTGGATCAGATCTCAAACCTTAAACAAGCTCTGATGAACCATGAAGCTCATTCACCCCCGGCAAAAAAATGTAAGAAAGAAATATTTAGTTTTATGAAAATAAAGCCTAGTTTTGAGCTTATCTCGCCACTCTGAACAGTATTAATGGATAATGTGTCCACACACTCACGACGGCTGAATGGCTGTAAGAGTGTTTGGGTAGGAGAGAAAACCAGATGATCTATTAGAGACACAGGACTGTCCACTGAAACCTCCGGTCAGGACGGACACGGGCCTAATAAGGAGTTAAACATGTGGTTTAGTGTAAACAGAGGATCTCTGGAACCTTTATCAAAGTGTGTGTCTGGCTTCTGCTGGTGGAGGAACGGATGGGGACCTCTGATCTGAAGCTGCATCGCAAAGACTGAACTGTGTAGTACTGAATTGTGGAGATATAAACGGGGGGAGGGCAATCCAACCCTCTCCATTGACTCTGTATTGCGGGAAGCTGCCTCCTTGTCATTTCTGACTTATAATAAAAAGCAGAGCAATGTATAAAAGCTGCTGAGTGACAAGCTGTACAGCAAACAAGCTAAAAACCCAGAACTAGGTTTCTATAAGCTGTCGACCCAAAAAACAAGCGTTTAGGACACAAATAGTTGTAGATGTCGGGGTATTTCACGTTGGGCCGTTCAGTTGGATCATTTCTCAAACAAAAGGAAGGTAAGGAAAAGGGGCACTGACATAGGCCTCCTCTCAGATTCACATCGGGTAGTGAAATAATCCTTTGGCATGGTTAAAAATAATGAATAATAATGTTTCCTGTCTCTGATGATGTTTCCCTCCAGTGGGTGCAGTTCTCAGAGTAATATGAAACGATGTGCTCTACTTCTGTGTGCTAAACGCTTGTTTTTTGGGTCGACAGCTTATAGAAACCTAAGCTTGTTTGCTGTACAGCTTGTCACTCAGCAGCTTTTAGACATTGCTCTGCTTTTTTGTTAGAAATGACAAGGAGGCAGCTTCTCGCAATACAGAGTCAACGGAGAGTGTGGGCGTGGTTTTCAGATTATGAAGCGTGTCGCTCTGTCTGATAAATTAGTTTATTTACGTTGTTTTTTAAATTAAAATTGGGCTGGTTGATTAATAACACATTTTCTGTGGTGTGACAAACTCAGAACATGTATTTAATATTGCTTTACACGGACTTAATCATGAACAAACAGAAAATCACACACAGCACAGTGTTTCCTGATCTGCAGTCAGTCCAGCATGAGCTCCATCTGCTGCCAGATATATACAGGTGCATCTCAATAAATTAGAATGTCGTGGAAAAGTTCATTTATTTCAGTAATTCAAGTCAAACTGGTACTTACACAGTTACTCTGATGAGAGATTCATGTCCACTTCATGTTATTTAACAAAAACAGAACAAACTCAAAAAGAATTCCACATTGGTTTGATCGTTCTATTAAGATTTACGTTCACCTAAACAACTTGTTAATGTCGTATTGATTATTTTAAACCTACTGCTTCAGTGTTTTATCCAATAAGCAAATACGTTCATGTAGAATGATGGACACCTGAGCAGGTCAGTAATGTTTATTTCTCTATCAAAATTAAAAGTTTAATTTGACATGCTTGCTTTTCATACAAATTTGCACAGTGTTAGCACTCTTTTTACATAACATTTGTTTTTTGTGTGTGTGTGTGTGTGTGTGTGTGTGTGTGTGAGTGAGTGTGTGTGTGTGTTTATGCTTTGAAAATAAGCAAAACAATCATGTCATTCTCTGAAACTGAAAGAACAGGCAGGCAGTAGTTCTGGTATGTGAGCAGCCACGTGTTTGAGCAGCCCCGCCCCCCAGCAGCCCCGCCCCGTGTGACGCTCGCGGTCGCTCTAGAGAGGGTGCTCGCTGCAGAGCCAAATGGGAGGGGCTAGAACTCTAGCTCCCCCTCGCCGGATCTAGTGGGCGGGGCTTGAGACATCATTGGTCCAGATGCACCGCCGCGCACGCAGGTGGAGTCCGTTCGAACTGATGTACCTGTATCGCACGGTAAGAAAACTGTACTTTAAAGATAAACTGAACTTTGCGATGTATATAAAATCTAAATCTTACATTTATCGCGGTCTCGACATGACTATTAATGTTATTGTTATGTTCTGACCCCCTGAAACGTTATTTTTTTCGCGTAACTATCGATAGCTAATAAGTGCTAGCATTTTCCCATCCCCCTTGCTATATTTGAGCACGTGTAGTGTTTTTATTTACTCATAGTGTTTATTTTATTTAATTTCAGTACCTCATTGGAGTCAGGGCACTGGATTATATGTGTAAATTACATTTCTCCATATGTTAGCCTGCTATGCATCATGTAATTGTACTTTTTGGTTGTTATGGCCATAATTACACAAGTGTGCATTATGGGCTTTCGATTGGTCCAATTCTCAAGGATGCACCGACATTTTGGCCATCGAAAATGTTCAGCTGAAATCCTAAGTTTCAGGATAAAAGTCACAAACTAACCAGACATCTCATGTTGTAGGGTGTAGGTTTGTTGGTAGCCTTTTATCCAAACTTTGAAAGTAATTTTGAGGTCAGGTTTGCTGCACATCATCATACTGTGTTAAGATGTTAAGTCATTACCTTTTACAATTGTAAAGTATTTTAAGATTAATAGAATCAATTTTAGCTCAGTGTGTCCAGTATCTTCAGTTTTGCTTTGGCCAAGAATTTTCTTCTTCTGTGCATCACCAATTTCTAATGTCATGTTCTTTTACAGATCCTCAAGCCAAAGTCGAGGGAGATTTTATTTGTTGACTCCATGAACCCTGAAGGCTTTGGACATGGGAGTTACATTCAGATCTTCAGGTTTTCACCTGAGGATAGCACAATTCAAGTTCTACTGTTGTGTGTTCATACTAATAACATGCATGTGTTTGGAGTTCATACTAACACAAATAAATGTCTGTGTTCTTATGGAAACCATTTTAAATGAACATTTTATGGCTATAACATTTTATTTTTTTACCGATGTGAAGAGTGATGGAATAGTACTTTCTTTCACTGAAATGTGTCGCGCATTATGAAATGTATGGTGGATCTGTTTGAGCTCATACTTTAATGTTTCAGCCAGTTATGGTTTTCAGTATTATATAATTATAATTCAATCATAGTAAAACCAAACCCCTGGCTCTAACATAACTGATCATATTGCAATAAAAATGTTAGAGCTTTATGTTAGAGCCAGGGGTTTGGTTTTACTATGATTGAATTATAATTATATAATACTGAAAACCATAACTGGCTGAAACATTAAAGTATGAGCTCAAACAGATCCACCATACATTTCATAATGCGCGACACATTTCAGTTCATGATGTTACGCTCTCAAAGCCATTTGATTTTGCTGCGGTGAGTTTGCATCAATTTATGGTTGTTTGTAAAGCAAAAAGGACTGCGAGAACTCTTTCAACAAAATAAAAAAAAATGACTAAGATTTTCAATTGCTATCTTTTATCAGTCTGACATGCCTATAATCAGGAAGTGGTGGTGCTATCAGTTAATTCAGACATTTCCTCTGACAAGGTATGATATTGATAAGTATACTTTAGATTAAAACCTCCATACTGTGCATTTCCAGTATGCAGGCAATATATAAAAAATAAAGCAATGCATGTCTAAAACATTGTTATGTTTGTCACTTCCCACAGTCAAGTCCAACAACTAGTCACCCAGGAACAAGAACTACCAAATCCAGAAGACATGGAAGTCACTCCACCTGAGTCAGAAATCATGGAGATCACCCCAACACCAGGAATCTATGTATGTAGAGGGAATGTTTATGTATTGCTTGACTTGGTTATGTATTTAACTTTCCTGTTTCATAAAGGTGTTTATGAGCAGCACTTATTAATTACATTATTATTGGAATTCTTATA